TTTTCGAAAAATCAATCAGGTCTCTCAAGGAGATGCCTATCCTCTTCCTAACATCACTGATATCCTTGACCAGCTTGGTAAATCTCGCTATTACAGTACTCTTGATCTAGCAAATGGTTATTATCAAGTCCCTATGTTACCCGAACACCGTGAAAAAACCGCTTTTTCGACTGACAAAGGTCATTTTGAATTTATTCGTATGCCTTTTGGTTTGAAAGGTGCACCAAGCACATTCCAACGCCTGATGAACAAAGTTTTAATTGGCATAAATGGAGTAAAAGCTTTCGTTTACTTAGATGATATAATCATATATGCTAAAAATTTAGACGATCATTCTCAAAAGCTCACAGAAATCTTTGATAGACTTAGACAATATAATCTAAAATTACAACCTATTAAATGTGAATTTCTCCGCAAGGAAACTCAATACCTAGGTCATGTTATTACAGACCAAGGTGTTAAACCTGATCCAAGAAAAATAGAATGCGTTCAAAATTTTCCCGTACCTAAAAATGTTAAGGAAGTTAAGTCATTTCTTGGATTATCCGGTTATTATCGACGATTTATTAAAAATTATGGGGAAATTGCGAAACCTTTGACAGCTCTCTTAAAAAAGGATGTCCCATTTACTTGGAGTGACCTTTGCCAAGAATCTTTTCAGACGTTAAAATGCGTATTAACACAAGCTCCAATTCTTCAATATCCTGACTTTGAGAAACCCTTTGTCCTCACTTGTGATGCTAGCAACTATGCCGTAGGTTGTATCTTGTCTCAAGGTCCTATAGGAAAGGATTTACCTATAGCATTCGCATCCAGAACATTAAATAAGGCAGAACAAAACTACAACACCACCGAAAAGGAACTAACAAGTATTGTATGGGGTGTAAAACAGTTTCACCCTTATCTTTTTGGTCAGAAATTCACAATTGTCACAGATCATCGTGCTCTCACGTGGATATTTAACCTCAAAGATCCTGGGTCCCGGTTAACCAGATGGAGATTAAAACTAGAAGAGTATCAATACACAGTGCACTATAAAAAAGGATCACAAAATACCAACGCTGATGCTTTGAGTAGAATCCATCAGGTAACTACTCGTTCAACAAGTAAATCAGTAACCGAATCGATGAATTCAGAAAATCCAGAACATTTACGAAATCCAGAATATTCCGAACACTCATTAACTCCAGAAAATTCAGAACATTCACTAACTCCAGAATATCCAAAATCATCTTCATTTTCCAATATTAATGAAACCATCACAGAATCTCCGTGTCAATACGTATTGAACAATATCAGCCATTATTCTAATCTTCCTAAAAATATAGTAGAAACCCATGGAAAGGTGTTGAATGCACCCTCAGACTATCATTTGACAAATTTTGTATCCAAAGATCTCAAGTTATCAAAAGGAATTGCTTTAGATTTTCGTCGACATTTTGGGCAATTATCTAGTCTGCGGAAACAAAACAAGAATGTTACTGAAATCGCTTTTCTCAAACAATCCAATAGATTTATCCTCTACATAATAATAAAAGAGAAGATTTGGCAGAAACCAAAATACGAAATTATTTTCACTGCCCTACAAAATCTCCGAGAATTTTGTCATGTAAATCATTTAGATAAAATAGCTTTACCTAAAATAGATACTGGTCTAGATTGGTTAAATGTTCGATCTATCATAAACTATATCTTCAGAGACTCTAACATTCACATTCTTCTCTATTCTCTAGTTGAATACTCATCAGAACAAAAATCTCATATCATTCAAGAATTTCACCTAAATCCCTTAGGTGGTCATCAGGGTATATCACGAACTATCAATAGATTAAAGAAACAACACTCATGGATCGGTATGAATCATGACGTGGCTGAGTTTATAAAAAAATGTACATCATGTCAGAAAAACAAGACTACAAATCGTCATGTAAAAGCACCGATGGTAATTACTACTACCTCTTCAAAGCCCTTTGAGAAAGTTTTTATGGATGTAGTCGGTCCTCTTCCACGTACACCTCATAACAATGCCTACATCCTAACTCTTCAAGATGATCTTACAAAATTTTCATGGGCTGTCCCTATGGAAAATCATGAAGCAAACACTGTTGCTTATCATTTTGTAACCAAATTCATATGCTTTCATGGTATCCCTTAGAATCTCGTTACTGATTGTGGCACCGAATTTCTTAGTGATGTGTTTAAAGAAACATGTCTACTGAAAATAAAAAAAACATCTACAACTCCCTATAGGCCGCAGAGCAATGGAAGTCTCGAGAGAAGTCACCGGACTTTAGGTGAGTATCTTCGACACTTCGTAGATAAAGATCAGCGAAACTGGGACACTTATGTTCCATTTGCTATGTTCACTTACAACTCAACAACTCATTCTGCCACGGGATACCAGCCCTACGAACTTTTATACGGTTATGAAGCCCAAGTCCCAACATCATTTACCCGAGAACCGGAACCACAGTATAATTATACAGACTATAAATTCGAATTAAAAAGAAACATGCAAGAAACTCATAATATTGCCAGAAAAAGATTATTAGAAAAGAAGCAAAAATCTAAAACCTCCTATGACCAAACTCAATTCCTTCCCACACTTCATATTGGTGATAAAGTTTTAATTCAGGAAAAGGCTAACAAAGGAAAACTGGCTCCTAAATGGTTAGGTCCTTTTGAAATATTAGACACAAACGCTGATTCAGTAAATATAGTTATTAACAAAAATGGCAAACGTCAAACACTCCACAAGAACATGGCTAAACTCTTTCATGAATAATAATTAACAAATAATCATTATTGTTTGTTACAGAATNATCAAATAATCATTATTGTGTGTTACAGAATGGTTACTCACTTCTCTCAATATTATGCAGAAAACCTAAAAGCGTTCATAAATATCACTGAGTTCAATCAAACGTCCGGTCTGTATTACGAATCCTATGGTCCCCTCAGAATCTCCCAGAGTACCTGGCAACTTATTTCCTACCTGGATTTAAAGAACTACCAGCAACGTCATTCTTTAATCTTAGGTTATTACAATCAAACGGTGCGTCACTGTCGGGACGCATCAGAAAATTCAAAAGATATAAAAATAGCTACAGTCTGTACCCAATTTGTTCAAATTACATTACCTTATTTAAATGAAATAGAATTCAATCATATTACTCTTTCATCTATGTTAAATCTGAAGGGGAATAGCAGTTCTCTTTACTCCCGACAAAATAGAGGTCTAGCAAATTTCGTTGGTAGAATAGCAAATGTTTTATTCGGTGTATGTTCCGATCAAGATGCTGAATATTTTTATAATAAAATCAGCGAACTTCAGGAAAATAAAGAAAAAATTCTACGACTATCCAAAGAACAAATACACATTATGAAATCCGTAGTTCATCACACATACAATTCCTCACTACATCTAGATCAAACACAACAAAATATGTCCCGAAATATACAGAAACTACTATCGCAAAGTCAAATGAATGCTGATAAAATCAATTTAGTAGAATTCATTTCTACTCTAGCTGAACATACAGCCACCATAACTCTACTACTTAGCCAATACAGTTGGGAAACTCAGAACCTCCTTGCTATAGTTAACTCAGCTCTAAGTGGTCGATTACATTCTAGTATCCTACCTCCTAATATCCTACTTAATGAATTGAAAGAAATCCGTCTTAGTTTACCATCAACCCTTGAACTCCCAGTTTCTATCTATTCTACAAGTCTAACTGATTTGTTCAAGATAACTACTATTGATGCATTATATATTAATTATACTTTGATTTTTAATTTAAAAATCCCTTTATTGTCTAATTTAGATTTTAATTTATTTCACCCCATATCCTTGCCTATACCACAAGGAAATCAAAATTTTATTTTTATTGTAACCGAATCTAAGTATTTAGCTTTAAGTAGAAATAATGATTATTATTTTTCTTTATCAGACCTTCAACTTTCAAATTGTTTTGATTTAAGTAATTTTAAATTGTGTAAGTACTCTAAAGCACTATATCGTCATTCCAAAACAAAAAATTGTGACGTAAATCTATATTTTAAACCTAATTATCCAATTGTCAATTGTAATCTTAAGTATCGTAAATTGTTCATTCCCATATATCATAAATTAGAAACTCAAAACTCTTGGTTATATGTGACTCCTACAGAAACGCATATGACACTCAAATGTAATAATGTACAGAACCTCTTTTCTATTAATACCATTGGTAAAATAACAGTGGATAAGTCTTGTACTGTGAGTACCGAAACTTCAGTATTATTACCATCTCAAAACATTATTTCTGTTTTCTCCCAAGAATTTGTTCCCGAGAATCCTTTAGTTTACATGAATTCTAATATAACTAATAAAATTTCTAAATTTCAGCCTGAACCGTTAACAGAAAATAATTTCATTCAAGATTTGAATCAATTAGCAGATGACTCAATAGATCTCAATTTGTAATAACAATTGTAATAACAGATAATCATAAATTGAATTGTAATTGAGGTCGGCCTAAAAGAATGTGTTTATAAAGTATTTTTTTCGGTATTGCAAAACCGGAAAGTGGGCCGACTGCGACTGTTGTAATTCAGAGCATCGTTAGTCATTTGACAACTATTGTGCGATTACTATTACTTTTATTTTAATAAACTAATTAATTATTCGGCAATACTATTTTATTTTATTCTATTTGTTACTCTCGTAACAACATTAATTATTAAAAATATGATTTCTATATGATGGATAATAGAATAAAAATATAATATTAGTTTCAAATTGTCTAACTTTTTCAATAGTTTCGAAGAAAATGAGTGTCTTATCATAATGAAATTCTCTGAATATATATGAATGATAAATAAATAGAGAGTGAGGGAGGAAATTTTGAAATAATAAATCATTTAATCAAAGACTATGACATATTCCTAATAACAGACTAAGTAAAATTAGTACCTACTATTTTTCTAAAAAGACATAGTTTTAAATAATAGTGTACCTGTAAGTTTCCGACTGTGCAAATGTAATATCAGCATTTGAATGCAATCCAAATAATCTTGGATCATCATTAATAGGTAATGTTCTTATGTAAGTTAAGTATTTATCGTAATCCGCAGAATCTGATAACTGATAATAGAGTGAGTTATTGTCAAAAGTATGATGTTCGTTAAGGACTACTGGACTATAAAAATCCTGAAGTACATTCATTACGCATCGTCTATCCCAATCATCAGTTACACGGCCGCCATAATTTATTTGGCCAGCTGTATATTTGAGTACTTCATAAGGAACAGTCTCATACTCATTGAGAAACATAAAAAGTTGATTTATACATATTTGGAGGTCACCATCTGTGAACTCATAGGCTGTATTAAAGCCCAAAGACCCAAACTTACGGCGTTCTAAGCAAACACCGTGAAACAAACAAAGTGAGAATAAAAGCCTTTTGAAAATGTTCACTTTTTTGTTATCAGAAGAAATATAATTTGCATATTCAACTACCGGTCCCGTAAAAGCTCTTAGAAGATTTGCTTTAACACCTCGTGGTGGTTCAATAGTCATTTTTGATCCATTTTGTAAAATTGATACAGGAAAGGCAGGTGATGGACTTGAAGTCAGCCAAACTCGAAAGTCTTTATGAACTTTATCCGCCGGAATAGTGTCAACTAAATATTCTAACCGTGGCATCCAACTTGGTGATAAATGACAATTCTAAAAAATAATTAATAGCTTTTTAACAAAAACAAAAAGCTAAAATAAGTCTAATTATATATATAAATATATACAATCGAATAGAATTAACTGTCAACTCTTATAACTTTTGTAATGATTAAAATTTTACTGCATTTTTTTTTAACAATTTTATTATTAAAAGCATATGTATTCACTATATAAATAAAAACGTTAAAAATTATTTTTTTTATTGTTAAATATTTTAAAAATGCCTGTTTCAGCAGGGTATTACAAACTATATGCGGCTTACCATGACACCTATAATTTTATCTATAAGAACCCCGAATAAGGAAGGTTCGTCTACGTTAATCGAAGGATTGAAATGACCCAATAACAATGATAACTGAACTACTACTACTAATAATTTATTCAAACAGCAGATAAACTACTTTATTTACAAACCACTCTATGTATTAAATGGCTTATAACTCATTAAGTACATATCCTAAATTTGTAATCGACCCATCAACATTTTTTGCAAGAAAATCGCTATTTTGTGAAAATTAAAAATAACAATTTTCATTTTTTATTAATAAAATACAAAGTTTACTAATTTTCCATATCAATATATATCAATTGTCCATTAGATATATAATTAAAAATATATACATAATTATATAAATATATATATATATATATATATAGGATTTATTCTTTGTAAAAGTTATTATAAAGATTACAACTTAAATCCATATTTGATATCAATTTTTTTAAGGTTATCTTATCAGTTTAATTTTTTAAAAAGAAGAAAAGGCATTTATATATTTAATAAAATTAAAAATTTGACAAATTTTAAAATTCTATAAAAACGTAACTACTGAATTAAAAAAAACAGTATAAAATGTTGAGTTGTCAGTTAGATCTGTTCTACTCTTTATATTTTTGCTACTAACAATTTATCATTATTTGAACACTCACCTGAAAAAATACCCAAGATCCACTAATTATAGCATCTTTAAACATACTTTCTGCAAGAGGTCCTTGACCTTGTCCTAATGATATCGAAAAGAACCGTTTAGTCATTTTCATCTAGAATTTATAAAATAATATAATATATAAAAATATAAAAATATTGTTAAAATAATTTTACAGTATCAGCCAGTTTGTATAAGCCATTAGCAGGATCAGTACCAACGGATAAAATGAATATGAGGGGCATTGTTGGTGATGAATCTTTATACATTTCAGCAAGATCCGATGAATGATGTTCTACAAACTTTTCTCCTAGATTATTTACTAAGAAGTCTTGTAGACCGTTAAGCACTTTATCAGGTCTTAAACATTTTAGTATCATTAAGTAATGGAAATGATCAAATACATATTTCCAAGGCTCTGGTAACGTTTCTCTATTGTAATAATAACAAAATAAAATAAATAATTAAAAATCAATATCAATATTACATTTGATTTTAAAAAATTTATTAAAGTTATTTTGTTGTTAATTTGTATAATTAATATTGATAATAGTTTATGAATAATTTTAATCAATAGTAATATAAATAACATTTATAGGGTTTTGTCTTGTTTTATTCATAATTTTTTTTTTATTATTTTCTTCAAATAAAAAAATATATATATCATCATCATCATATAATTATTTTAGTTATTGAAAAGGTTTTAACAAAAGTAGATCCAGACAAAAATCTTATATAGTTTCATTACTTTCTATTAGGTTCGATGCGAAGCTGAGAAGGTATTAAATTTACTATGATGTGTTTTTAGGGGTGGGTTAAAAATGCTATAACTTATTGAAAAGTGTATGGATCAACATAATTTTTTTATGAGAAATAATATTTTTTAATAATCCCTTTTTCATTCAGGTTATTAAAAAGAAAATAGCAGATCATGTAGCTTATGGAATAAAACACCAATTTTTTAAAATTAAACTCTATCTAAACATTTGCATCGAAGCGTTTTTTTTCATGGTGATTTTAATCACTGTCAGATATCATTATACTTGATCCAACTATCCAACGTCACCACTGTGCTGGATTTTTTTTTTATAGATGTATGATATCATTACCTTTTATGTGGTATATATTTTTTTTAAATATGACCCTTTACCTGTCCACAGGTAGGGATTCAAAAAGACAACTTTTTCACAAAAAATTTTTGAAAATATTCCGGAAAGTCTGACACTTTTATATATATCTTAAATTAAAGCTAATGTAATATACATTATCATAGGAAAAAAAAATGTCGGACTTTATTTTGTCTTCACGGTGAAAATGGCTACCAAATGCTATTTTTGTGTGAAAATTTTCGATTTTGTATTTTACATTTTTAACTTTATTATGCTATAATTATTTGAAAAATGTATGGATCAATACAATTATATCATGAGAAGTAGTATTTATATACATCTTTCATTCGACATACTATTTTTTTAAATCGGACCATTTCCCTATATACGAAGGGGGTTCAAATCTAAAAAATATTGCATCAAACTCTTTAATTTTTATACATGTTTATTATAAAAGTAACAAATATACTACTTTATAATTTTTTACAATTTCTCCGTAAAAATTACAGTATTAAATTATTAAATATTCATTTCATACTATATTTAATTGCTATAATAAATATTTATTCATTAATTATATTTTTAAATCTAAGAACTACTAATCAGAATATAATTAAGGTAATAGGAGTTGATGTTGCTTTTGTAAACACTATAAATTTGCAATGAAGTGTTTCTTATGACTAATTAAAATCACTATCAAATATCATCTATACTCGTCTCAAATATCCCACTTCCATACTGTGCTGCGACCCCACTTTGCTACAGTTTTTTTTTTTAGTGAAATTTTACCTGTGAGGTTCTGCTGAATCTACTATTATTTTATAAAATGATGATTGTTTTGAAAAACTTTCCACGAATTCAACAAAATTTGGAAGTCTTTCTAAAGATTGTATTTCTTTCCATGCTCTATCGCTAAGCCAACTAGAATATGGATTTGGTTTGTCCTAAACAAATATTGATATCAGTTAAGCCATAAATAAAAAACTATGTTTTATTTAATTATAAAATTAGATGTTCTATAATACAACATTTATAGGGCTGCCACCAGACAAGAAAAACGTCCACTCGTTAAAATTGATTGTGCCATCACCAATCATGATACGTATACATATAAGAATGGCAAATTGCATTTTATTACGTTCAAATAGGGAACGACAAACATTTCGAAACAAATTGAATGTAAAATGATCATTTATAATGTTGACACGCGTGTCAATATTTTCTGAAATAGTTAAAAAAATTAGACTCCTACTTTTAAATTTGAATAGATTTTGTTTTCATAAAACTAACCCACTTTATCTGTATCTTGAATACTTGATATAAAAATTCCTATAAACCAATCTAACGAATATTGATACATTGGATCTACAACAGGAAGTTCTGCTAAGCAAAAGTATAGAAGTTGGCCCCTGTTTGCTACTGGTATATAAAGAGCACGTGTTTCATCTATTTCTATTTGTGTTTTTTCTGCAGCTTTGACTTTTTGCTATACGTAAGTTTGATAAAAATTTTTATCTGTTTAAGCAATTGATTAACTTTTTAAATTGTTACCATTATTTCTTGGCTTTTTAATTTGGATGACTCTAACATCATAATTAATCCAATATCATCTACAGGAGACCCTTCGGTTGCAGTTAATCTTTTCAAAATCCTGTCTTGTGTTTCTTTTAACTCAGATTTCATCTGTGCAGTACCTACTACGATTGCTGATCTCATTTCTTCAAGATCTGGTCTTTCTTGCATAACAACAATTGCTAATAACTGATCCAATAGACCAGTAGTTAACAAAGTAAAGTTAACAATAATAACTTTTATAGAAATTTCAGGTAAATAATGTGGATTTGGTAATTTAGTAGTTATGAATAATCGAAAATCTTTGTGGTATGGTACTATAGATTCTCCTATTTTAATCACATTAACATCATTTTGCACAAATATCGACCTTGAAAATAGTGTATCCATCGCGGGATCTAATTCTGTACCAATATTTTCAATCAAACATGTTTTACCACTTCTAAATAATTATTGTAAATTTTTTTCTTTTTTTTTTTTTAATAAAATTATTGATTTCTTATATTGAATTAATTACGATTTTTTTTTACCTTACGGCAGTTTGTAGCTCCTGTAGTAAATTTTTGTCCGATAGTTTGCATATGGCGATTCCATTCATCAAAGTTTTACCCTAAAATTTTATCGTCATATACTTTAATAATTTTATTTTAGATAAGTAGAATGTTACTTAAAGGAAGGTGTGGCTGAGTCGATAACAAAGCAGTGCTTGACGCACACTGCTTCGAGTTCGAAACTCAGTCATGGGCGGCTTTATTTGTCGAGCGAGGAATAAGTTCGGTAATTAGAGTCGCCATTCCTTTTTCCAGTGACATGCACTAACCACCCATCCCAAAATATCAATGGTTAAGAAAATCTACCCTTTGGGAAAGAACGCTATGGGCCTTTAATGGGACTGAGAAACAACAACAACAACAAAAAAAAAAAGAATGTTAATTAACATTTTGAATATTACTAAATTTTTAATCCATTTATTGGCTTGTCCTTGTGGATCTATAACCAACGGCCAACGTTTAGAATTAAACATTAAAATGGCATTTTCTACGCTGAAATCATCTCTTGGTAAACCTGCCATTTGCCATTGTTTTATAATAACTGGTTCTCCTAGTATTGATATAATATTACTATTTTCTGAACGGGGAATATTATATTCATCCATCTTTAGCATCCAGCGTTCTCGTAAAGACTTTCTATATTTGTCGGTGAATGGAGTTAAATATGCAATAGAACCTGCACTTATAAGTATGTCTCCAATTATTGTTACTAAAAATATCTTTTACAACAATATAAGATTAGTCATATTTATTCAGTTAAAAGGTAATATATTACTTTATAGTTAGCTATAAGTTCTATCCAACGTTCTCGTTCGTTGGTAAGACCATCGATTAATCTCAGAGCCCGATCCATTCGGTCTTCACAAAGTTTACCTTTGGCTTCTAGTTTATTTTTCTTGTTCATAGCATCCGTCAATTTTTTTTGCAATAGATCAAGACCATCCATTACATCTTTCATTTGTTGCTGAGCTGAGTTAAGTTCTTCATCAGCAGCTTGCAGTCGTATTTTGGCTTCAGTTAATGCAATCTTTTTCGGCTTAACTTCTTTATTTACAAAATAGTATTTGTAAATAGCATGAACCCAAGAGCACAAGGATGTACATGCTTTTGAAACCTATTTGTAAATATTTTAAAATATATCGTTACAATAAGTTAATGTCAAGCTACTTTACTGTAATAATTTTTTCAGGACTGAAATTTGGATTTTTGATATAAGGTTCTAGTGAGTGTATAAGAGCTTCGCTTATATTTTCTTTGTCATAATTTATCAAAGAATTTAAAAAGCTTGCAGGATCTGATATCATATTTCGACTTGGTTCCCAATAGTCTAATATTTTTTTACCTAGAGCACCACTAGTTATCTTAATAGGTTTGACATTTTTCATAATGCAAATACTCTCCAAAACTAAAACAACACCAGCTGGAGGTTTCTTTAATACTTTAATTTCTGATATATCATTTTTGTTTAAAGACTTGAGACTTTCTTCAGCTTCTAACAGCAATGGTAAAGCTTTATCTAAACAATTAAAATATAATTAATTTTGACAAAAATTGTACTTATTTCTAATAAAATATATCTGCACATAATACTAAACACAAACCTAAATCTCTTTGAGCATCTCTTGCGAGTTCATGTGTTTCTTCCGCTATTTTTATAGCCATTTCTTCTACTTTAGCCACTTCTAATTTTTTCACGCCAGCAATTTCCTGATTTGTAGAAAAAATATCACTATTTTTAATTGGAATATTTCGAATAACTTAATAATAATCTTAAGAATATTTAATTACACTCAATAATATTTACTAAATATAAATTAGTAAAAAATGTTTGAAATTATATATTACTTAGTTCAAAATCTATCTTTAGTTTTAGATATTTTAAATTAAAATATTTAGCTAAATTTTATTTTGTATTTAACTTACTCTATCGGCTTCTATAGTAATAACCATTTTGTCTACTTCATCCTTGGCACCCTCAATAACTGGTTTAATTTCAATTAATTCTGCTTGCATTACTTTAATGTCCTCTGTAGTAGATAACAATTTATTTAGACCAGTTTGAAGTTTATTCATTGATCCAGTTATTTCATTTTTTTTTTCTTGAATCATTTCTATGTAGCATCTTAGTAATTCTAAGTATGAAGTAGGCGTGACATAAATGTGTCTATTTAATTCCTAGAATAAATAATAACAGTTTTATAAATCTTTTATTTAAGATAATAATTAATATAAAATAACTTGTAAATAAATTATGCTTTCATCTATTACACTTTGTTGCATATATTGAAATATATTCACTACATTGTTGAACAATTTTGGACTTGATTTTAAGTCTTCAACATCTGATAAAAAGTGATATGCAACACTCTATTAATTTCAAAATATTTACTGTGGTATTAATATAGAAAAAATTAATGTAATATATAATTTTAAATTGAGTTGATTTACTTTCAGGGCACTTTCCGGCCAATCACTAAACCAATCAATAGTGCAGTTATTGACTAAGGCAGGAAATTGACGCACTCGAGCCCGAAATATATCACCAAGAGGGCTACAAAAATTAAACACAATATAATTGTTGACAATACGAAAACTAGAAGGTGTGGTAGAGATAGGTATCATATTTCAAAAAAATATAATCTACTTTTTATTTAACATTGAGAAATTGTATTAATTGACGATATTTTACTTTTTAAATACAATATTTATAGTAGCTATAAAGAAATTTTTTCTTCACTAGTCATTCAACATTGAACTATAATAAACTTTCATTGAATATAAAAGTATACATCTATTAATAGTCATGAATTATTAAAGTCAAGATTTTTATTTAATGGATAATATAGATTTACCTATGACAATTGGTGACTTACCTTATGCTACACATCAAATATCAATAGAAAACTAGCCGGGAATTGCTTAACTTAAACAAGCAATAATAAAAGTTTGTACATAAAAAAAAATTTATAAGAATAAAATTTTTTTAATCATATCATCAAACTTCAAAATAGGAGTTCTCATTAAAGAAACCTTAAGTTTAAATTTTTTTATTTTCCATAATAAAGGGTTCTAGCTGTACATAGCTAGAACCCTCCTAGAAACATTTTCAGGTTTTAACAAATATAATATTTTAATTTAAAATATTGATATAATCATGTTGTTTTGAAATAATGAATAATTTATATGGCAATTTTATGTATGGACTAGGCTACGCCCTAGACCCGAGGCCCTACGAGCCTTACGGGCCTTCGGCGCGTAAGCCTCTTTAGGCCATGATCATAAGTAGACCACTGATTCCGGTAGGGGTACCCGGCTACGCTGGGCACGATAAGTGTTTTGCAGAAAAAATATTACATAAGAATCAGTGTAACAAAAATATATTAAAAATATTATTATTAAAATCAGGAAAATTCAAAAAGAGAATATAGTAAAATGTATTGGGTATATCGTTGACGTTTGTTAATGAAGTATTCCCTTTAGGCCTAATCAAAAATTATTTTAGGAGGGTATTTAATATTTTTTACTTTGTTAAACATGTAATAGAATTTTTTTTGCTAAAAATCAAAATAATGATTAAAAAATAGGACATTAGGTCCTTATTTATTAGAAGTTTCTTAAAAAAATATTGATAGCGCTGGTTCAAGGGGGCCCATATCTTCCTTAAATACACCCCTGGTATACACAAAAATTATCCAACCTTCGCTAATAATTTTCCCGGAGTCTGGTGATCGAGTACTTTTGTTGAAAAAAATTTTTAAAAATCCGAGCACGCTAAGTAATTTTTTCCAGAAAAGCGTTTTATTCCTTGTTCTATTATATTATGTATGTATATTTATGGAAGGATAATTGGGACATTTGTATTCAGTAGAAGAATTTCTACAAAATTTAATTAAAGTTTTATCAATAATTAAATATTTTTTTTACTTACTTATTTTTATATAAAGTATTTAAACTTTAATTTTTAAAGGATTCAATGTTTTAATTGTATTGGGCTTACGAAATGATAAATCTAGGCTACATAATAAATGGTTATAAATAATAAATTAGTTCTTATATTTTATAAATATAGTAAACCAAACAAATAAACCTAAATGTTTAGTATTAAAAATATAATTTAATTAAAAAAAACTATTTACCTCATTGTAAGAACACAATGTAAAGAATTTTTGACTTGTTTTATGTACAAGCTAAATAAATTTGACTTAGTAGGGAGTAGCCCTAACTCAGTTGCTGGTCCTTTCATATTCTGCATTATTTTATCCATTTCATCACTTTGATAAATATTTGGAATATCTCCAGAATTTAACATATTATTAATATCTTCTAAGAATGATTCTGATTTAATCTAGAAATGTTTTGAATTTATTTGTATGAATCATTAAAATTGTAAATGATTTTATATATTGATAAAATAATATTAAATTTAACTAAAAGAATTTTTTTCATACTTGAGTATCGCAAAATAGAAAAACACTTTCAATTTTATATAATCCAGCCTTAAGCATTAAACTTTTAACATCATCACGAAATTCTATGTTGCCATAATTTTTTGTTAATTGAATTTGGAAAAGATTAAGTTTTGTTATGTATGCAGCGAGTTTAGTGAGACTCTGTCTACCTATTAATTTAAAAAATAAAGTAAGTATTATATATATTCGTTTATTTTTTTATCTTACCTGAACCACCCATTCCTAATAAAAGAGCATTACCAAGTTGTTGTCTTAATATGCGTGAAATTCTACAAATATGTGATACTGCGTCCATAAAAAGTACTAGCTTAAGTATAGACGTACTTTGAGAATTATATTCATATAGTTGAGTCGAAATTATTGTTATGAGCTGGAGAAAATTATAATTAAAGTTATTATTTTATAATAAAAGATAAAAAGTAGTATACAATTTAGTAAATACAAAAGTTGGGAATTTTCGTGCAAAACAAATAGGTTTAATATAGGAGCAAAATAAACAGAATGAAGTATTGTTATAAAATCTGAAAATAGTTAAAATACATATTGTATTAATAAACTTTATCACCTTATCGGAAAAATACTTAAAAAAAAAAAGAAATTTTAAATAAATTAAGATAATAAAAATGTATACTTTATTAAAATCAGTCACTCTTCGATATGATTTAACTCCAACAGAATTTTCAATGAAATCACAAAATATAATTTGTTTAGAAAAAAGATTTTCAATATTTTTTTCAAAATTTTCAGTCATTTTAGTTTTAAGTAAATTCAAAAACCAATTCCTATCTTCATCATTTATTAGTCTATCTTGATATACGCGACAATTTTCATGATACCAAAGTTTTAATAGTTCTTCCGGAGTCTGTTATATATAATTTATTAATATTGAGTTGATTAAAATAATTTTCTTTTTTTAATTTTACTGAAATAACTTCCGGAATCGACATTAAAATTCCTTGAAAAACTTTGCTCAAATCACGTAAATTAAATGTGTAATGAGTTTTTGCAGGTGTAGGTAATAAATCCGATAAAATTGTTTTATAAACATCAAGAGACATTTGAAGAATAGGCTTCCACAAAGTATTGAAATTATCATTTCTTTTAGTCCATGATTGAAGAATTTGGCCAAAAATATTCCACTAATAAAACAAAAAATATTGTATGTAGTTTTAATATTTCTTTATAATCTTACTTGACTGCTCTCTTCCATTTCAGTAAAAGATAAATAATGAAAATGTCTTAATAGTCTTGGTGTTATATTATTACGACCACCGCCAGGTGGTCCCATTGCTGCAATAAAATTAACGTCTATTATTTGCTTCCATTCACCAATATTTTTTCGGTCGTACCATCCTAAAATTTAATATATTAAATATAAGATTTTTCCTAGTGATTAAGATCTAAGATTTTCAAAAATAAAAATTTTACTTAATATTAATTGGATTATTATTTGAATATTTATAAAAAATAAAATTTCCAACCCAACAATGCTAGTAATTTATCTTTATATTTATTAATTATCTATAAAATCTTTGTAGTACTTAATATAACTTGAACATAATAATATTTCCAATATTCATAAATCAGTTACTAACTTATTATAATAACTTTTTATTATATTATATTTTTACTAATTAACTAACCACCGAAGTCCATCCATTGCCTAATGAGTTCAATAGGAGGTTGAGCCCCATATGCTTCAAGAGCTGGCATGTTAAAATCATCTATAAATAGGATTAATTTCTTTAAAATCGGAGGGCCAAAAACTCCTTTACGTCGTCTATCAAGCTTCGAATCAATTATATCTTGAGTTTGATTAGCTGAAGTTCGAGCAGAAAAATTTATAAAATCTGATAGATATTTTTTTGGCATACTAGTAGAAAGTTTAGACATGATAGTGAGAGTTTTTCCTGTGCCAGTTGGACCAATATTTAAAACATTATGTCCACTCGTTAAAAGCATTTCTATTATACTTGATGATCGTACATTATCAATAGTAGGTATTTCAATTTCTTAATTTAATAATAATACATGTATATTTCTTTCAATTTTTTTCTTTAGATAGATAATTAATACCTGAATAAGTAGTTTCTTCGGTAATTTCAAAATTTTCAATATTGGTCATCCAATTAACCCATTTTGGTGGTGCGGGTTCTCCATCGTCAGTTGGTATAGAAAATCCACCATCGTGTAGCCTTAATAAAAATTAGAATGTTTTTCATGTAATTAACCTAGTTATCTTGACAGTAAAATTTTTGATGTTTAGAGTTTAAGTGAATTTATCAATTAATATTGATAATGTACAAGTTAATTACAATGATCAACAATTTTTTTGGAGTATTGATGATTGCAATTTTTTACTAATGAGTTGGACTTATACAAAGTACGAATAAATATCATAGAGAAAATTACACATATTTTATGAAATAAATTGTTATTAATTATACTTGTAATCATATACAAGGCCTTCGATCGGGAATTTAAATGGATGATCATTATTGATCATTCGTTTTCTTAACCAATTTGAAAAAATCGCTCGAGAATTTTGATCACATGTTACTCCAATACTCCAAATAACTGAAAAAACTATCCAACATGGTAACAAATTTGGCATAAGTGCTAAAAATGGTGTCGTCGGTAAAGGTTTGCCTTCGAAATTAACTATTGGTCTAAGCATGATTGAAATCATATTCAAACATGAAGTAAGAAGTGATGATTGAATTGATGGAATTATTTCTCTAAGATTTTTACGAACTACATCTAATGCAGGTATAACATAAATTTCGATAAGATTCAAAATATTGTCTTTTAATGGAAGAGCAGCCTGTAACATACAGTTTTAAATAGTAAAAATAATGACACACACACACACGCATATATATACTTTTGGTAACTTCTTAATCCAACAGTTAATAAACGGGTTTAAGCCCAAAACAGCTGGTTCTAAATAAACCATTCCACATCGTGAAACTGTTGCTGGACTTGCAACTGCGAGGTCTTCAACTTCAAATATCATCGTTTGATTATCAGTTACTTTCATAATTTCTCCGCTACTTAAACACAGTTTTTTATTATCATCCAAAACTGAATTCATATTTTCAATCCAAATTGCATCTACAGGTCCATCAAATATATACCAACGATTATCTTTGTCTTTTGCTGAGATACCTTGGCGAACCAAATATGATAAAATACCATCAGTCCTACCGTTAAATTAATATTTGTTTAGCAATATGTAAAAATATATGTATTTATAAAGTCTTACCACTCATGGGTCAAAATATCAAATTCGCCATAAAGCTGACCCATCGTAATTGATTTTGGGTTAAGAACAAACAAGTGAACAGTATTGTATAAAACTCCACTAGGCGTTAAAATTCCTTTTAATCTTGTGATTGCATCTTTCAGTATTTCATAGCACTATATAACACATAAAATTAATTTCAGTTTACGTATATATAATATTTTTTAATAAAATAGAGTATTTTATTTATGTCAAACTTGATAGTACCTTTGTTTTTCCTGAACCAGTTGGTCCAATTAACATTAAACCATGTCTTACTACTGTAGTTTCATAAAGCTGAATAACTTTTTTTATGTAATCTGTAATCAAATTTTATACGAAGAGTATAAATATAGAGCACACGATAATATTTAGATTATCTTACCATCAACATCCTCTAGATCCAGATTTAAAATAACATATCTGATTGATTTTTCCAATAACCCATAATCAATTTCTTGTTGCGTCATTTGTGGAAATAGATCAGAAGTTATACCTTTGGAATTCCAAATGCAAGTTATCATCAAGAGGTAACAAATCATTATATATATATATATATTTATAAAGTAAATAATTACCGTTAAATAATTTTAAGTCATCTTTTAAGAATTTTGGAACATTGACATCTCTTAATGCCCGTAAAACAATTTGCTGTTCATTCATTTCTGGATTTTCCCTTCTTAAATTTCCAGCTACAATTATTACAGTTTTTACAGCACGCATTCCAAAGTCGTAGTGATCCTATTGATAAAGATGAAAAACTTATTTTTTTTTTTAATATGAAATAATTTTAGTATCTTCGATTAACAATTAAAATATACCTAAAAACTCATCAGAAAAATAATTATCTAGCTATAAAAATGCTATCCAGACTAATTTAACTCTAGAATCCTAGATTTAATCTTTTATTTAGAACAGACAATAATAATTTAAATTAAACGATATCATACAAACAACTTCCTTACTTGACTACTAAGTTGCTCAGAACTAAGCTTAAACGTAGTTGTAATTTTGCCACCTAATTGTTTTGCATCATTGAAACCATAGGAAAATAAATAAATTTCAGCAATTAATGTGTAATCAGGAACCATCATAGCAACTGGACGAAATAGTGCTTTTAAATTATCGGGTAATTCAGTTCTACCTGCATAACCAGGGTTCATTGTAATAAAAACAGCGCATGATTCTTTTAGCGTGATTTCTGATAATTCAAACATAAATCTGAAGAATAGTTAGTGTAAATTTTTTTATAACTTTAATCTATTTTTTTTTAAATTAACCTATCTTGTCGAGCCATCAAAGCTTTTTGTATCGTGGTAAGTTGTTGTGCGATAACAGAGAGTACTTCAATATCTATTCTGTTAAATTCATCAAAGCATGCCCAAGCCCCTGAGCTAAAAATTTATTAGTTATGCTAATTTTTATAAGAACTATTTTATTTTTTTATTTACCTTGCTAATCCCTTAAAAAATTTACCCATAGCTTTAAAATCTAACTGATCTGAACAGTTGAATACAACACATTGTATAGCTAAAGCTTTGGCCAAATCCTAGATAAATAATTTAATATAGTTAAAATTTACTTGTTTATTACTTCGTTAAATACTTTAGTTGTTTCTGTTTTGCCTGTACCAGCTGGTCCAGCAGGTGCACCTCCAAATTTTAAATGTAAAGCGCCAGTTAGCGTTAGATAACAGCGATCTGTAAGTGGTGTAATGACCAAACGATCAGAGTTTCCTAAATATTCATACTCATAGGGAAATTGAGCATTAACCGCCTTAACAACTTCTCCGATATCATCTAACCAATAATATCTGTGAAATAACTACACATTTTACAAATTTGTTTTATTTTCACCTAATTTTAATCTTCGATTAACCTTAATTGTTTAATCCAATTAAAATCATTAATATTTTTTATGTTCAGCGTTATTAAATTTGACAATACGTCTCTTGCATGCACATCAATCACTATAAGAGCAGATAAAATTTGACGTTCTAAACTAGTCAAAGAACCAATTACTAACGTTCTTAATCCTGTTAACTATAAAACTGTACATAAGTAACTAATAAAAAAATGTGAATTTTTTGTAAAATTATACTTGTGATAACACGGTTTCGTAATATTTTTTCAATTTGTTGGTTTTAATACTATTTTCAACATGGGCTGTCCAAGAAGTTTGAGAAACCCCAATCACGACTTGACCTGGCCATTGAAATACCCATTTATTTCTAGGTGTAATTTCAACTTTTGACAAAGAGGCCTTGAATGCGTCTTTTATAGTATTTCTCATGGTCTTTTCAACTTCTAGTAACCAATACTCTACAGTACCTTTGGGGTATATTGATGGATTTAGTTTAACACTTTCACCATCTCCAGAGTACATAGCAGTGATTTTTAAATCATGTTCAAAATCAAGCTAAACAAATTCAACCATACAATTATTCCAAATATAGTAGTATTAATTTTTATACCATTTAACCTTGAAAATATTTTCAAAACATTTTTTTAAAAATGGTTGTACTGCTAAAGGATTTTTTGCGTGTGCCAATATTTCTAGTAGTTCATCATCACTAAGAAAGTAAAATCTTGGAAACACCGATCTTTTTATCTCTAAATAATCAGAGAGGCCTTTTTGGACTGTAGTTAGTTGAACATTGCCATCAATCAGAGTATTTAACAACCGTTTATCAGGACATGTATACATTAACTAAAAAAAAAATTATGTCAAAAAAATATATTGACCATTCTTTGTACATAATTACATAGATCTTTTCTAAAGCTGATTTCATTATTCTTTTCCAAATTCGTTCAAATCGACTGAATTTTTTTTCTTCAATTGGCAATTGTTCTTTAATATCTGGACTAGCAAATATTGGCTGTAAATATATCCATTGTCTAAATAAAACATATTTTTTTGAAAAAATATTTACTAAAATAATGCAATATAATATAAAGAATTAAAATTTCCAACAAAACAAAAATCGTTCAAAATTATTGTTAGAGTAACACTATTAGAGAAATATTGATACTTTTGACATTCACTCCAGGCTTCAATAACATCTCTTGATAGTCTTAAATCAAATTCCCAATTAGTTAATTCTTCTTCGAAAACTCCTTTAAAAGGGCTAAACGATAACTGTTGTGTCAGAAGTATATGATCATCAAGCATTTGAAGCTCATCATCCGGTATTTTAATTATGTAAGTTCCTGTATCTTTATGTTGTTGCAATTTTAATTTAACGTTTTCCCATTCTTTTTTCATTTTCTCTAAAGCTTTTTCTATAGAAAATTCTTTAGAAGCATTATCGGAAATTTCTTTTAGTTCATCAGCATATTTTCCGATGCCCAAAGCCAAACATTTTTCAAAATTTAATATTGGTGACATAACAATTTCAACACCTGATAATTTAAGTTATGTTTTTAATATATACCTAAAATTAAAACTAGGAAAATTACCAGTTTTTTTAGTTAATAATTCCCAATGTCTTTGTCTCAATCCTGGAGATAATAAATCTTTTAATAATTGGATTTTTGGCTTAAAATCTTCTATTTTTCCTTTAATTTCATTTGCAACATTTAAAGCTCCTAAAATATGCTATAAAATGAATTATTGAAGAATAAATAATTAAATATTATTCAAACCTGGAATCTCAGAAAATTGCTTGTGGCACTTGGTTATAACTTTATAAAAATCATTCCACATAGGTTCTACAGAATCTCCAACAATATTCGATAAAGGATTTTGTAGCCAAGCGGTTTGCATTCTAAGAAAGTCGGCAGCATTTACCCATAAATCTTTATATGGCTCAAATTCTTTTACCAATTTTTTAACATTATCAAATGGAGTAATCTATTAAAATATAAAAATTATTACAAAAATATTAATGTATTTTAAATAGATAAGTATTTTTTCAAAAAAAAAAAAAAAAAAAAAAAGATATCCACCAAAAAACAAAATAATTTGTACAATTATAGATTTTAAGGTCGAGCTTTAAACTACCCATTGCACTAGGATCTCCAGATTTCGTGCATTTAATTGAAATTAATCCAGTACTCCATTTTTTTCTGTGTTTTAGGAAAAATAGATAAGTAATCGATCATTTTAGTGAAGGATTTTTAAAAATCGATTCTTTTTAAGAATATACAGTGATTGATTTATCTTTGATCATATTGTAGAAATATGATCGAACTAAGAAAACGACTGGTCTATAACAACTTTTGAACCATTATTTTGTAAATTATTACATTTTTAAATGTAGATTTTAGACATGATGCGGGTTATGATATTTTAACCATTACGCTTCACTTTTCAGCACCCCTCCTTCCATCCAGGTTTAAAGATGTTTTGACTACTGAATAACTGGTTCAAATTTTTATTGACCAGTTATTTCCTTAGTTAGATCATTTTTTAACTTTGAAAGTAATAATAAAATATATTTATCCGATGAAAAAAAAACGGTTAGATGTTGTAGTCATTCTATAAGTTTCATAGAATTTTTGTAAATTATAATATTTTAATGATTGGCGTTTTCAAATGTAATGGATATGTCAGTGACCTCTTGGGAGGTATGAGATATTTTATAATTCAGCGGTTCTTAAACGAAAAATAAATCTATTAGTATTTTTATAAAGTAGAGAGGTCTAGTAGTCAATGTTGTAATTTAAATTATAACAATAATGAAAGTATATCTGTTTACTTCATATATTTTTATTATACATTTTATTCTACTACTAGAAATATTATCATGCTTGTATTAATTACAAAGTCTTGTATTCGAGTTATTTAACCTATATCTCCATTATTCGGTCGTATTTCGCCTTCACTACAAGACCTAAGGTTAACTCTAGCTTAAACATTGTTCCAGAACAAATAAATATTAAATTATTAACGGACTCTTCAAAACGCAACAGTAGACTTACATAGGAAAAGGGATTGATCTAAAAAATATTTGACCACTTTGAAATTGAGAATTAGTTAATACTTAAATAACCCCAAAAAAATTCTTAAAACTATTATTATTATAGGCGAAATTTAGTGGTCAATGATAAATCACTCTTTACACATTCACAACATGTATATATATTACATTGAAATCATCATGTACTTAAGCAAATAGTTTTTTTTTAACATTTAAAAATGTATGTTATTTTAGATTCACACACTATATGTGTGAATCTTTAAAAATTTTAATCAATCTTAAAAAATCATAGTGTTATTTTAAGGATGATACCCATACATATTTTCATAAAAATGGACAAATTAAAATTTGATTTATTTTTATAAAACTTGTAAGGGCTCGATCCTGGCGTAATGTATAAAAACGTATGTTTCGTCACACGGGGTACTTGGTTCGATTCCCAAGGTGCCAATGAGATTTTTCTTGTGATATTATTTTTAGTGGTGTCTGGTCTCTGGTGCAAACCAACCAAGGGAAGTTAAATAGGAACCTATAAGTCATTTTTACTGTTAATTGATAAATTATTTAAATAAAATTGGGACTAGCCGATAACCAGTTTTATGTAATTATTGATTTATTATCATTTTTATTTATAGACTAGAAGGGTGCGCAACATTGAAGAATTTTTATCTGTGCATCAACGTGAAAAAAAAGCTTCACTTAATACTCCAATACACTTAATACTTTATTTTTCTAAATCTTCAAATGCTAATGTCTCAAGAAGTAATATTGCAAAACAGTTTATCGACCAATCAAAATTTTATTTAGACCATTCTTCATTTAATAGTAAAAAAATAACAATATGTTCTCATTTAACTTTCGAAAGTTACCCTTATAATCAAAGTATAGGTACCATTTTTAGCTTCGATGTCAAGCTGAGAAGGTATTAATTTTACTATGATGTGTTTTTTTTTTTTATGTGTCATTTACCACTTTTTCTCAGCTCTCACCAAATCGATTTCTTTCAACAATATGTCTAAAGATCACAAATCTAGTATCTAGTCGAAGACATTACCCCCAAAAGATAAAAAAATTTCTCTCGTTCTACGTAAATGGGGGAAATCTTCAAAAAAGTTACAAATTAAAAAATCGCTAATTTTCGACATTTTTTCAATTTTTTTTACTTAAAACTGCCATAACTTCTTTTAAAAATGACCAAATCTTTATAACTTTTTTTATAGATGTCTTTAACTATCATTTGGTATATTTTTTTTTATAAATTTGATTCTTTAACTTCCCACAGGGGGGGATTCAAAATGACAACTTCTTCAACTTTATTTTTGAAAATGTTTCGGAATATTGACACTTTTATATATATCTTAAATTGAAGCTTATGTAATATACTTTATTATGGAAAATAAAAATTTCGGACTTTATTTTGTCTTCACAGTGAAAATGGCTACCGTATGCTATTTTTAAAAATTCTCGATTTTATATTTTACATTTTTAACTTTAAAATGCTATAACTTTTTAAAAACCCAGCAAAGGGGGATCGTGCCACAGTGGTGACGTTGCATAGTTGGATATATCTTAAATTGAAGCTTATGTAATATAATTTATTATGAAAGAAAAATTTTCGGAGTTTTATCTATTACCTTTTCCCAAATTTTCATACTATGACTCATAGCTTTAGGCCTCTATAATTTCCACACGCTTGTATGTTTCCTTTATATTTAAATATTGGAACCATAATACTATTCCTCCATTCATTTGGATTTTTCCCTTCTAATAAGATTTTATTTAAAAGTTCCTTCAAGCACCATATGCTAACACCGTCTAATATTTTCCATACTTCTGCTGGCACTTCATGTGGTCCTACTGCTTTATTCTTTTTCATTGATGCCACAGTCTCCCATACCTCTTTCTCACTAATTAAATCTACCAGTTCCTTATTCTACGAGATATCCTCTAATGTTTCTTTTGGGTACTCCTCATTCAATAATTTTTCAAAATACTATTTCCACCTTTTTTTCACATCATCATCACTCGAGAGTACTTTATTATCAACATTTTTTATACACCTTATATAATGATAATCTTTAGACCTTTTCTCTCTTATCTTTGCAAGTCTATAAATTTCTATCTCGTCTTCCTTTTTTCCTAACCTATCATACAACTCATCATACCTCTTAAACTTCACCTTATTTACTGCACACTTGACTCTTTGCACAAGCATTTATACTCCATCCAGTCTTCTCTTCTTTTTTGCTCTTCTGCCAAACTTTGAATTGCTTTTTCTTACTTTCTATGATTTTTTGAACGTCCTCATCCTACCACCAGGTTTCCTTGTTTCTTGACATTCTACTACTACTCTCACCAATAATCTCCTTTGTAGTAATCTTTACACAACTAGCAAATCTATTCCACATATCATTTATGTCTCTCTCGACATTCCACACCGCCCACTCTTTTTAATTTTATTTATGAAAAAATCTTTATCAAAAGTCTTTGTATAGAATTAATAATTAATTAATTTATAAATAATATTAAAGCTCTAATAATGATTTATAAATAACTCGCTTGATGTCCAAAAAGTCTTTGTCGTTGATTTAAGGTTTGACCAAATTTTTGAAGTTCTTTTATCATATTCCAGTTTTTGTTAACGTCTACTGCAATTTCAAAAACTTTGACCAAACTATCCTCTAGTGTAAGCTTTAAAATATTGCTGGTAATGAATTCCACTTTATTTTGTAAATTTAATTCGTCTTCAAATTGAATTTTTTCAAATTTTTCTGTATCTATAATTAATTTTTGTAAGGTTTCTTTAATTTTTAATTCTAATTTATAGGGCCATATTATTGCTTCCCATTTAATGTCAGACTGCTCTTTATCAATCACCCACCAAAATATATCTAACATTTCTATTTCCTAAAATTAAATAACTAAGTGAGTTCGCGTTGACTTAATTATTTATAATTATTCAAATAATAATACCAAAACATAACGTTGTACAATATCTGATTGGTTTTTCAATAAAAAAGGTATAGTTTCAATCCATTCTTTTATTTCAAATACCTGTTCAATTGATACTGGATTTTCTCCTAATTTTAAATTAATACCTCTATACTCTTCACAAGAAATTTCTAGTTTTTCTGTTGTGAGATTTGCGAATGTTTTCATAATCAAATGGGCCAATTGTCGACATTTATCAATTAATGATTGTTTTAATGTTTCAACATTAATAAAAAACAGACCAATTGTTATATTTGAAGGAAGCGTTTTTTTTAAATTAGCTTTCATTCTTAAATGCATTGATATTTCTTCTTTAACTTGACTAGGATAAGGATTGCCTTCAAAAAATGTCCTAAACAATTAAAATATTTAAGTATGTAAAATTTTATTAACTACCTTATTTTCTTACTGGGTATACAACTGAACGTTGGTGTTGAATAATGGTAAATAAACTAAATATTCCTTACAATACGCTTTTAATGGTATTATAGCCAACCGAATACAATTTTGAACAATTATTTCTTGTTCTACGATTTCTTTTTCAAGTACACCAATTGAAGTTAAATTCATTTTATCGAAAAATTTCATGTTAGTTAGTAAACTTCTATAAAATATTGGTACATTGTGGCTTTGTATTATTCCATTTCTGAACATATTCACCACAACTGACTGTAAAATTAATAAACTTAAAATCATAGGTTTAGGGTTAAAACTAAAAATTGAATAAAAGGTGGAAAAACTGCAACGGCTGATTTTTAATGTATAATATAGAAACGAAAAATTATATACTTATACTAACATATTGAAAAAAATAGATGTTCTACTAACTAATTATATAAGATAACCTACACTTACCTTATGAACCCTTCTTCTTTTCTTTAACGCAAAACCACGAATTTCTCAAAATTAATCAAAAGATTGAAAAAAAATATAAAAATTTAAATAGGATATAATAAAAAGTTTCTTAATATAATATTATTTCGAAAAAAAAATCGCCATTTCTTTATTCCATAATACTTAAAATGTGTGTAAATATTGTAAGTATACATTTCTTAACAAAAAAAAGACTTTAAAAGTCGGGATATGCGTTTTTGTCATAGAAGCGACGATATGCTTTTCAATTTGTGATTTTATAATTTTTCCACTTTTACTGATAATTTTTTTTATTTTTTTAGGTTATTAAAAATTTAAAAATTCAATAATATTTACATTTATCAAGAACATTTACATAAGACAACAATTATGAATGCTACTGTTGTTTTTAAATAATATTATTCAAAGTATGAATAAAAAGAATGAAAGAATGCTTAAGGAGAGATAGTCACTATATTAACAAAATTAAAATAAATATATGCTTGTATAATAATATGCTATTATTAAGCAGATATACACTTCATTATTTTTAAAATATATATTATTTATATACTTATCAGCAAAATGATGACATACAAACAAACCTCAAATTTATCAGGATCAGTAGAATAAAATGACTCAGATTCGTTCATACTTAGTACAAGATAAAATATCGGTTCTTCATTCCATTCAAAAGGCGATTTTAAAAATTCATTTCCCCAAACAAAATTTTCATTAATTCCTTTTATTTTCTTACATGGTCTTTCAATTAAACGAGCATAACTTCTTGCTGATTTGAGTACAATGTCTCTCAAATAACTCTATGATTATTAAACTCCGTTTTAAATAATTAAGTTAATTATATAGCATTATTTTTCATAAATAATTTTATATTCATTGTAAGTATAATATAATATGCCTACTTGCATTATAAATTGAAGGAGCTTCATTAATTTTCGAAGTTTTGATACTTTATAAACATTATAGTTAGTTTGATAAATATCGAACCATCCACGATTAACGTCACTCAAAGCAAAATAACACTTACTCACAACTCCTTCAATCCAGACATCTTTAAGCCAATCTATAGTCTAATTTGAAAATGTTTTTTACAATTAATAATATTAAATTCAGAATTAGTCCAAGATGTAATAATATAGACATTAGTTAATACAATACTAATTTCGATAAATTTAGTTAAATATAAACTTGAAACTCTAGAACTTTGTATTAATTGCAAAATTTGGATTCTTCCTTTATTTTTTTATACAAAATATTTCACTAGGTTTTTAAACCTTTAATAAGTTTATTATTAATATTAATAATTATTGTGTATACCAGTGGCGTATTTAAGGAGGAATGGAAGTGAATACCCTGCTTAGACCAGTGATATTAAATTACCAAAATAAAAATAATTAAAAACCGTCTTAAATTGATTTTTGAATACGCTTCTGATAAATATCTAGTAAACAAACGTCAAATGTTAAATGAATATAATTCACTTAATTTTTTTACACCTGACATCATACTTAAATATGTAATTTAATTATACGATTCATTTATTTATATATATTATTAATTAACACTTTATTATAATATAAAAAAACCTAACCAACAATTTTTATAATTTATAGGCTATATCTATATAATAAAATTCAAATTTTAAATATTTTCTTTTGTAATAAAAAAAACTAGAACAAGGGGGTCGCAGCACAGTGGTGACGTGGCATAGTTGGATCAAGTATAATGATATCTGACAGTGATTAAAATCACTATAAACAAAAAACGCTTCGATGCAAATCTTTAGATAGTGTTTAATTTTAAAAAATTGGTGTATTATTCCAAAAGCTACATGATCTGCTAGTTCCTTATTAATATCTTGATTAAGATAATGTATGTCGAATGAATAAGGGATTATTAAAAGATATTATTTCTCATAAAAAAATTGTGTTGATCCATATACTTTTCAAATAGTTATAGCATAATAAAATTAAAAATGTAAAATAGAAAATTGAAAATTTTCACACAATAATAGCATTCGGTAGCCATTTTCACCGTGAAGACAAAATAAAGTCCGAAATTTTTTTTTTGCATAATAAAGTAAATCACATTAGCTTTAATTTAAGATATATATAAAAGTGTCAGTATTTACGGAACACTTTCAAAATTTAAGTTGAAAAAGTAAATTCTTTGTGAAAAAGTAAACTCTTTGTGAAAAAGTTGTCATTTTAAATCCCCCCCTGTGGGCAGGTAAAGGGTCGGATATAAAAAAAAAATATACGAAATGATAGGTGAAGACTTCAAGCATTTGTAAAAAAAAAATTATATTGATCCATACATTTTGAGTTTCGATGCGAAGCTGAAAAGGTATTAATTTTATTATGATGTGTTTTTTTTTTTTATGTGTCATTTACCACTTTTTCTCAGCTCTCACCAAACCGATTTCTTTCAACGATACGTCAAAAGATCACAAATTGTATCTAGTTGAAGACATTACCCTTAAAAATTGAAAAAATTTCTCTCGTTTCCCATAAATGTGGGAAACCTCCAAAAAAATTACAAATTTAAAATTCGCTAATTTTTGAAATTTTTTCAATTTTTTTTACTAAAAGCTGCCGTAACTTTTTCAAAAATGTACATCAATATAATTGTTTCTTTTATAGATATTTGATGTTTTTACCTATCATTTGGTATATTTTTTTTGTAAATTTGACCCTTTATCTGCCACAGGGGGGAATTGAATATTTTTTTTTTTTTTTTTTTTTTTTTTCCCTTTTTTTT